GTTGTTGTTGTTGTTGTTGTTGTTGTTGTTGTTGTTGTTGTTGTTGTTGTGGCTGTTGCTGCTGCTGCTGCTGGTGCTGCGGCTGCGGTTGCTGGGATGGTTGTGTGGTGCCACGTCACGAAAGCTAGCTGTAGCTAGCCAGGAGTCTGTCTTGCTTTAGCAAGGAGGGTGGGAGCCGAGGACCTGAGTGCTGTTACCGGATATATCAAGACTGGACCCCCCCCCCCTCCACCCTTCTCCTCCTCGGTACCCGCTGCTGCTGCTTGGTCGCTGCTGCTTGCTGCTTGCATGCTTGGTGCTGCTGGACGCTCTTGGCTGCTTGCTGGTTGCTGCTGCTTGCTGCTTGCATGCTTGCTGTTGCTGTTTGGGGTTGTTGGCTGCCGTTGGTGCTCAAGAAAGCCTATTCGTTAGAATCGAGAGTAGTTGCATTCCCTCTGATTCGTGAAACGATGCTAATTTCATTATAATATCCTTAAGAAGCTTGTACAGGCATGTACCCACCCCACAACCCCCAAGAGTACAAATCAGAATGCACTATCCGCTATCTATGCAGATCAAAAGATGATACTTACTACACACATGAATGACAGAACCCAGTCAGATGTTTGAACGGGCTGTTTGCTTCACTCATGGTAGTCCGCGTTCCATGTTCGAGCGACAGGGAGCATGCACAAGCGTTGCGACGGAGTCTTCGGTCGCTGACACATGTTCGCATGCAACCCCTAGATGTCAATCATGCACACCGCTGCTGGCTGCATCGTCAGCATTTATTCGTGGAAAAACAGATATATCAGATATATCTGTCTTTCCACGTCGCCCTTCTACAATTACTCAGGCAGCACCTATATGTGCTATTGTTCGAGAACAAATGTTGGGGCGCGAAAGACTCTACGGAAAGCTCACTCTTTCCCTGCTGCTGCTGCTGCTGCTGCTGCTGCTTGGTAGCTGGTGGTGCTGCTTGGTAGCTGCTGCTTGGTAGCTGCTGTTGATGCTGCTGCTTGGTAGCTGATGCTGCTGTTGCTTGGTAGCTGCTGCTGTTGCTTGGTAGCTGCTGCTGCTTGGTAGCTGCTCCTGCTGCTGCTGCTGCTTGGTAGCTGCTGCTGATGCTGCTGCCGCTTGGTTGCTGCTGCTGCTGCTGCTTGCTAGCTGATGCTGCTGTTGCTTGGTAGCTGCTGCTGCTGCTGCTGCTTGGTAGATGCTGCTGCTGCTTGGTAGCTGGTGCTGCTGCTTGCTAGCTACTCCTGCTGCTGCTTCTGCTCTGCTTGCTGCCGCTGCCGTTGCTGGTTACAGCTCTTGTTGTTGTGGCTGCTGCGGTTGCTGGGGTGGTTGTGTGTTGCCATGTGTTGGCTGTGTTGGGGTCGTATTGGGGGGGCGCTGTTGGCGCTCTCCTTCTCCCTTGGCCATGGCATGTTGCGATTCCCGGCCAAGCGTCCGTCGTTTCTTCCCCTAGCTTTCGCCAGCCCCCTCTGGGCCACAAGTATATTTTCTAGATCTTGGATTTCGAAGATCTGGCCAGGTCCTGGAACTTGTATGTTTTTGTAAACTAGTATACCAGGACATGGTAGTGTATACTATTATTTGGTCAACCCTGTGGCTGACTGGACAGGATATGCTGCTGTGGGCGCTGAGGTCCATGGAGATGTACTTTCTTTCCAACTACTTGCAGAAAGGTGACCTGACAACGAGACAGATCTCAAGCGGTGGGGGCAACAAGGGAGTGGTGGACCTTTGGATGTTCAAAAAGGACATCGCGTCCCATATATTGTCCATTCGTTGGACGAGCATGTGGAGAATGCTGATACTCGGAAGGCTATCAGATTAGCGCTGCAGGACCATGCTTCGCACCGAAGTCTGTTTGGTTGGGCCATGGATGACAAGCAGCCTGATTTGACATGGAGCTGGAAAGAATCTGAGCGCCAAGCTCTTTTTCTGGCCGAGGCTGGGTCTAGTCACCAGGTGTTTTTTGGTGTTTGGTCACCAAGTTTTGTCATGAGGCATGAGGTAGTCCTGTTTTGTGTGATCCTTTGAAGTTGCCGTTGGACAGGGGTTGATTTTCAACAACGGGCATGATGGGGTCCTCAAACAAGCGCTCAAGAACCGGAAGACTGCTGCAAAAGCATTGGGATTGAAGAGTTGGTGAGGGCCAGTTGCTGTACATTGGTTTTGAAAGCCATGTTGAAAATTGAATTTATAGTTTTAATACCCACTGAGGAAGATGATGTTGATGTGTAAAGTTCGAACCTTTGGTCCCATTGTACATTGGCTGTCCCTTCCGGATATCAGCCGCACTTGCAGCCCTCTTCGTTGGGCAATCAGCTGCAATGTGGGACTGCCCCCGCGCTGAACAAAAGAAAGGCAATCCAATCCAAAAGGATCCCTGTGACTCCGAGGGTTACACACACACACATACACGCGCGCGCGCGCCTCCCGTTAAGGGAGGCGAGGAAAACTAAGGTTGCGACAAATGTGCGCGTGTGCGCGCAAAACAGACAAACAAATGACGACGTGAAAGGAGGACAAGACAGACCGTATGTATGTATGTATGTATGTATGTATGTATGTGGTTGCGATGAGAGGGAGCCCACATGCACAGGGACAAAAGATGAAACCCACCTCATTATCAGAACCTGGGCGACCTGAAACCTGGGCTTGAAAAGGATGTGAATGTGCGCGTGCGTACGAAAGAAGGGGTGAGATGACAAGACATGAAGACTGGAGACATGAAAGAAAAAAGGAAAAGAGAGGTGTGTGAAGGGGACAAAGATGAAAAGGGAACCAAATGGAGGGGACAGGGGCCGATGAAACCGAACCTCGTTAAAAACCTGGGCCACTGGGGAAAAGTCACGGACTAAAATTCTGACAAGAAGAGTCCAAGCATGGAGAGACCCGCGTAATTGACAGCGGTGCGCCTTAAGCTGCTTGGCTGTCAAGGTATCCCGCAGCGCCAACAGCACCAAATACCTCGAGGCCACGCAAGTTGCCAACAGCACGGGCACACGCACCAACACGCGCTGCGCATCTTTTTGGGCGGTGTGCGCAGCTCTGCGCGGTATGAGCTAGCGAGCTTTGGTGTGAAGGGTTTGGGCGTGTGGATTAGGGTTTCGGGCTGGTGGGCTGGGCTTGATGTTTGCGGATTAGGGCTTTGGGTTTGTGGATTAGGGGCCTTAGATCTGTGGATTTGGGCTTAATGATTGTGGATTCGGGTTTCGGTCTTTTGGATTAGGGTTGAACCCTAATCCACAAGACCGATCCATAATCATTAAGCCCAATCCACAGACCGAAAGCCGCTAATCGTGGACGAGGGAGGGAGGGGTACAGAAGAGGAAGGAGACAGGTGTTCCCAGCTCCAGGCACACCAGGGAGAGGGGTGTACCTGAGCGTTACATTCAGGAACACATCAAGAAGCAAAGGAAGAGAGGGGAGGGAAAGGGGAGGAAAAGGATTAAGGTCTCGACAGGTTCCACTGGTGGCTTCGGCCGCTGCGGCCACGTACGCCGCGCCAAAATGGCTGGCTGCGGTCACCTAATGGCTTGTCCGAGGACTGCCTGCTTGGAATGCAATAATCCAGCAAGTCTTGGCAAATAACTTTGGTGTAAGCCGAGCTAAGCCTGGAGGCGGGGGCGGCTGGCCACTCATGGTCAGAGTAGACTGTGTCATTGCAGCAATCAATTTGTCAGGCTCGAATGGTTCCCTCCCTCCCTCCTTCCCTCCCTCTTCTTGTCTAGCTGCTCCTGACTTGGCAACCTTGGAGATCTCCTTTCTCCTCCTGTTCAGGGCCTTCGGCGCTCAACGGAGTTTGTCACGGTCAAATCTTGTACCGTGTGTTGTGCCCCTTATACTTATACCCTTCCTTGCTCCTGTTCTTGCCTGTGCAGACGAGGAGGCAGCTTATGAAGACAAGGATCCTGACCCGCCACCAATTGGGAGACGTTTGCGCCGCAGCTTGTCTCTCGCATGACACATTTCCATAATCCACATAGCCGCATAGCTTGTATATTCTTTTGTCGTCCCTGTCCTCTCCATGACATTCTGCATGACATTCTGCTAGTTCTCAGTCTACAGGCAACGCAAAGACAAGATAGATCTATGGTCTATCTAAGATTTGACCTCAAATCGGACACGGCACCTTCAAACTATGCTGATCGGTCTTCTTTTGGACCCTCGATCAGCTCTCGCAAAAGCGAGAACCCTACTTGGCGAAGTAAGTCCGCTTAGCCAAAGAGGCAAAATTTGGTGCGCCTCAGGAGCACTGCCAGCTAGAATCATAAAGGTTTGAGCTCAAGAAGGTCAACTGCAACAGGTCGCAGGCATATACATTGATCCCACAGACAAAGCAACAGTCAGCAATGACAGTCATATTTTAAACGCACTGAGTATTGAGGTCCCTCTGTTATGTTTCAACAAATGGTAAAAAGTCAGAGGCGCCCTTGTCTCATATATGACACAGGAAACTGTGTCGCGTACATGCTTCCAAACATATTCCACGACACCTTTTGCCGAGTTCCTGTTTGGGTGCTTTGTATGAGCCGTGTGCTGCTCTAACCTGGAACCTGATTCCTTGTCCGCGCGACTTGGCCGAACTATGGCAGGGAAACCTTTTATCCTGACCATGGGCAGCTCGGGCGTAGGAAAATCATCCTTGCTCAATGCTCTGGTGGCTGACCAAGAAGCCTTTGATGTCTCAAAAGACGCAAAGGCAGGAAAGAAACATCCGAAAGTGGTGGAAAAAGATCACGTGAAAGTCATGGACTCTGGAGGTTTCGCTGATCCTGATGGTCAAGACATCGACATAGGGGTCATGCTGTACGAACAGTTCAAAAAACATGGTGCTCCATCAACCATTCTTGTGTGCTCAGCAGGTGTTCGCCATGATGAAGTATGCCAGAGGGTCGTGTGCTTCTTGCACCGCGTTTTTGGCGATCAGGCACTCAGCCGTATCATTTTTGTACTGACGCAACACCCCCTCGACGACAAAAGCTTGAAGATGCATGAAAAGGAGGCAGGTAGAGAGGTCCCAAAGCAGCCGGATGACGAATGGAGAACCGCGATTGTTCAAAGGTGGAGAGAGGAGCTTTCTACAGGTCTCAACGAACAAATGAAGAAACACAAATGGCTTGGTGGTATGGCCGCAGTGCCCGTGTTCATCTTGGATAGTCATGCAAAGCTTTTTGATGACGTTGCTGATGATAGTGAAGTCAACGTATTTGATGAACAGGTGAAACTCATGCTAGAGCTCAGTACCAAAAAACCCTTGAGCGTGTTGGAGATCCTGGACAAAAAGCTCAGGGATTTCTTGGAGGTTGGGGTCCCCCAGTTGGTTTCAGACCTCTTGCAGCAGGCAGACAAGAGTGAAGAGGGGCAGCAAAGTTGGTTCCTGCAGGCTTCATACATAAATTGTTTGCTGTCACAGCTTGATGACCCCGAGAAAGGTCTCGAGAAAACATTATGCAAGAAGCTAGGAGCTATAGTGGTGCAAGAGATCAAGGATGACATGAAAAGGCACGGTATCACAGAAAGCGGAGTAAAGAAGATACAAATGAAAGGGTTGTGCAAGACGGGCGACGGGATCACCTTTGGAGTGCTTTTTGGTTCAATAGCGTTTGGCGTCGCAATCCCATTGATTGGTATCGCCATGCTGGTCCAGTCCTTGGTCCACTCGTTGAATTGGAGTCGTCAACGCACCATTGCAGACCTGCAGACACACATTTGCAAAAGTCTTAAAGAAGAAGGGAACAAACACCTACATGATGCCGCCATGAGACATTTTTTCGACTACAGCACGGCTGCTGCAAATTGGGACACTCACCTGAAGGCGCTGAGCAACTCTAGCTAGAGCAGCAGCGTCATTCGTGGGAGTCTTATTCACAACGCTCCGTGCTGTTCAGCTTTTGGGCTGCACGGTGCTGCATGCTGTCCATTAAAATCACTGCATTCAAGGCAATTCCCTCAAGGGGATTCTAAAGTGCTGAGGCAAGGCAAACAGCTTCAGCTCTTTTTTGAGCAGAGTGTATCGCTGCAAGTTTTTGGACACGCACCTTGAAGTGAGATGTGTTGAGCATATTTCAACTTGCATATTTCTCACCTGTTGGGAAAAAGGTGTTTGCGTGTCCACCTCGTGCTTGGTGCTCGCTGCAGCATGTCTTGGCAGATTTTGTCCTTGAGAGCAAAAAAGGAGGGCGCACTTGAGACTTGTGTGTAGAATCATGTCCTGAAGCATGACCTGGCAGAAGCGTTGGCTCCTTTTGTGTCTTTGTTGGCAGTTGCTAGGTTGCAAGGCGTTTAGGTTTTTAGTAGCCATGAGTGAGCGCTTGTCGATGGCCGGAAACGCACAGAGTGCTCCCTCCCAGGAACTGATCCAGTTTCTCAAAGAAAAGAAATTGGAGAAGTACGCTGCCAGCATTTGCATTGACCAGAGCATTTGCGAAAGTCATGCGAGCGGATGCAGTCAGTTGACTGCCTTGCTTGATATGGACTTTGTAAGTGTTGCAAAACTGTCCAAGCGTTGCGGCATTTCGGTTGATGACCAAAGACAACTTTGGGAGCTTGTCAGACAGCGAAGGCAACCTCCTTCCATTGGAGCTAAACTCGCGCAAGAACTGTTGTCCACTGCAGAGGAAAAGGAGGGCTTTACATTGGTTTCCTTACCCTTTGAAGAGAAAGAACACTGCAGCCTGGCTTACTGTCAAGCTATGGCCGGGAGGAACCTGCCATCGTGACCACGAATTAAAGCTAGTGTTAGGTTTCACACACGGTGATGGTCCATTCAACTAGTAGACAAGCCTTACATGTCTCCAAACTCTGATAAACTCACCGCAGGCTTGTTGTTTTATATACTTTCCTGTTGCTTTTAAAGCTGAGGTCTGCATTTCAATTGCCAAGAGATGACTGGTGGCGTGTATCCGTGGAGCTTGCGGGCTTTCAATGCACAGATTCCAAGCCAATACCAGGATGAAGATGCAAGCACACATATTCGACTATTGGTAGTGGGACAGACAAGTGCCGGCAATGCGGCCCAGATTAACGGCATCCTGAACTATTTCCTTGGCATGGAATGGCATGACTGCATCCGCTTCCAAGTTGGGAGGCAAGAAGCAGGACTAACTTAGGCAAGTTTGTTTGAACATGTTGCATCTTCCATTGCACGCTATCAGTTGTAGCAGCTCCAGGTTTCACCCCGCAAGGGTTGTTAAGCGGGGATCACTCGGCGCACATATAGAGGGTGGGGTTGGTTTGCATGTGTTAGCAAGTTCACAAATCAACAGGGAAGTGCGTATCAACAATCGCAGGAGTCGCAGACACAGTCGACGTGTTCATGCTTCCTGCCATTAAAGGAGCACCAGTGAAATGCAAGTTGACTCTCATTCAGGCCCCTGCTTTGGGGGAGAGTCACGGTTTGCCCTTTGATTCTGCCGTCCTGGACAAAATCAAAGGCTTCTTTCGGGAGTTTCCACAATATGTTGAGTCGCTATCTGGTCTATGCTGTGTGCCAAGTGATTCCGCAGATTTGTTGGACATTTGGTGTCCCATTCTGGGCCTGTTCGGGAATGATACTCAGCTGTCATTCATGCTTGAGAACACTCAAGAGACAGCGGTAGGCTATCCAAGAGGTGCAACGATCTTTAACGACATGTCTTCCCTCACCGAGCCCAGGGACCAAAATTACGCCGGGCAGCGGTGCTGGATAGAAGATCGGAAAAGCATGGAGACGCTCTTCCAATCTCTTGTTGCCTTTGACCCAGTTCTTCCAAACCCAATCAACGAGATCATGGAGCGGCGAGAGCAGTTGGAAGGCACGTTGGAAGAGTTGGGTCAGCGCATCAAAGTGCTTCAGGAGCGCACGAGCAGGATTCAAAACTGGGATGGAGAAACAGAGGGTGACCACGAGACAACACTGGACGGTTTGCAGGTTGATGTAAGCACAGAGTGCCTTGCTGTTTTGAATCTTCAAGAACAGGTCAGGATTTGCAACAATCGCCTTGAAGATATTGCTATGTATCCCAGCGCCATGCCTCGGGAAGACTATCTTGAGAAGGTGATTCAGCATATGAACCCAGGCCTTGAATGCCAGGACAAGGTTGACTCCCTGGAAAAACTGAAGAGAACGATCGAATTGCTACGAGATGCAGCGATGCCTGACTATTTGTCGATCTTGTTGAAAGACTTTAACCAGCAAGATACTGTTAGAGCTCACCGGAACAGGCGTTTCTTCTACTCGTACTGACCTGGCGATTCCAACTGGATTCACGCAGCCATCTTAGACAGCCTCGAATCACTAAGACTTTACCGAAGTTCCGAAGAGCAGAGTTTTTGATAGAAGCCCGAAAAATTGCGGTGAAGGTCGGGATGGGAGGGCTAAGGCGGCTACCAATACAAGTAGCACAGCTGGAACAGACGCGCCCTTGGTGCGGAAGCTTAAAGGATGTGGACGGACCAGCTGAGGTGTTGGTGACTGTTCTTTTCTATGTTGAGTGAAGTGCTCGTGTGGATGATGTCGAGGGAATGCTGGCAGATTTGCAAAGCCAAGTTAAATCCAGAACAGTAGCAGTAGGTAAAAAATATGGGTAGGCAAACTAAGGCGCTTCAAGAAAGAGCAAGGAGGCTTTGAAACTGGCCCTTTGATGATTTACAAGCAAGTTCAGTCGCAGTCATCCTTGGTCTTTATTGGAGCACGCCAGAATAGAATAGACCAGGTTTTGCAACCAAGGCCAGGTGGAACTTGCATTGTATTATAGATTTTGCAGACAGATACTTTATTCGGCAATGCTGTACTTAGAACATAAGCACGCCATGAAGCCATCGAGGGTCAAATCTACCGACCCGACCTTTTTCCGCCATGTTTGATTTTCCCCTGGTCGACGTGCTGTCTTTCAAGACCCTGTTGCCAGATGCAAGCGAGAAGATGACAGCCGTCCTGGAGATAGATCCGCAGACTTATAAAGTTGTGAAGGATCGTGTTGAATATCAAACGCGCCCAAATTCAATTCCCTCGCAGAATTGAAGATTGACCCTCTCCCAGACGGGGTGACTCTCGATATCGGCTTTGTTCAGACGGTGACGGGGCGAGACTTGAAGTATGACTATGGTCATGGGAGATATTTGGATTGGAAGATTCCTGCTGAGCTTTTCCAGCAAAACCAAAGAGGCTTCTCACGCTTATCCCTTCTACAAGGACTACAAGAAAGGTGCTGTGGAAAGAGTCTCGCGGACAGGCGGGACCGTAAAAATCGCAATGGATGACTTCTTGGGCAGTGCAGGTTGGAATTGGAGAAGTGAAAGCAGCTGCACTTTGTCGGGCATTCGCAGAGATCAGTCCTTCAAGAGGGGAGACCATGTTGTTCATGAGGTTCTGCAAGAGCTCGACTGGGAGGCAAGCCTGAGGATCGACATTGACCCGAGCAAGAAAGAAGCAGGGACTTCTGATTGCGTTTTCCGGCAAACAGACCCTTGTGTTCCCGATGACAGGTGGCTTCACCCTCATTGCACAGATGGTTCAAAAACCGCGAACGAGTTGGACAAGAAGCTATAAAACAATTCTGTTGATACATTCGATTCTTGTCAGGAAACAAACACCATTTGTTGTGTGTGAAGATTCTGATGGCTACTATTTGTGTAGAACAACTCGCCGTTGGGTTATTTCTATGTTGACCAGACTTATGCAGCCTTGTGTTCTAAGCGTTTATACAGCTACTAGTCACAGTCAAGGGCATCGTGCCAAAAGAAGTTCCAAGGAGGTGTCATCAGTTAAAGAAAGATCAACCTCAATGGAATGATATGACATGGTCCAGATTTGAGCGTGGGTTTGCCTTTTGTGACATCAGCCTTGCTATGACATATTATTTGGTTCACTTTCCGCGTTCGTTGGCCTTTGTTTCTCAAACTTGCTGAGAGTAAAGATGCAGGACTCAACCTCCAGTATTTGTATTCACAACTTTGCAACAAGGACATCATCTCAGAAGAGCATGCATTCAAGAGAGTGGTGCCTGATTGTGTACACAAACGTTTGTTTGGTGGGTTCAAATCCTGCTCCTCAAGGGGTGTCCACGATCGCAATCTTTTTTGTTTGATGTTTACCTCTTGAAGGGCTTACTCTTGTTTGCCAAAGACTGAGGAAAGTGGCGAGATGGTGCTAGAGGTGAGGTTCGACAAGCAGCGAAAGGAGGGACAAACAGATGCGCTTTTCTTAGTCTTTTTGTTCTAGGATGGGCTGTATGACGTCCTCGAGGATTTGCCAGAATTTGGGAACCAGGCCTCACTTCAATTACATAATTACTGTATATAATGGTTTATGACTTTTGGCGGTGTGTTCCCAGTCTTTGCTCTTTCGCTCAGGGATTCACATCAATGTTTGTATGAACCTGAATTGATCTGAACAAGGTATAGGACTCCATTTGTGTGAGTAAATCTCTGATGTTGGCCCTTGCACAGGCTTGCTGTGGCTCTTTTCCTATGCTCCTGCTTGCTATTACACCGGTCTAAGCCGGTTTGCGTGCGTTGTTTTGCTAAGGCTGCTGAGGGGTACCTGCTCGCGCCCGCGCAGGAAAAAGGGAAAAAAGAAAAACCTTGTTCTTTTTCCCCAGATAGCGAAGCTATGGGGTTCTTACTTCAAATAACAATGAGTTGCCCGTGCGCGCTTTCGAGACAGGTTGCTGGTGCTGGGTGCCGGTGCTGGTGCTGGTGCTGTGAGCTGGCTGTGCACGTGGTGGAGACAGGTTGCTGGTGCTGGTGCTGTGTGCGCCGGGTGCCGGTGCTGGTGCTGGTGCTGTGAGCTGGCTGTGCAC